AGAGAGAGAGAGAGAGAGAGAGAGAGAGAGAGAGAGAGAGAGAGAGAGAGAGAGAGAGAGAGAGAGAGAGAGAGAGAGAGAGAGAGAGGGGTGTATCGGATGGAGGGAAGAAGCTCACACACGTATCGAAAGATCGGAGGTGAGAGCGAAGGACGGGTCAGGGTGGCTGTGGCGGGCTGACGAGGCGGAGAAGAAGTAGGGGAGGGGAGGGGGAATCGCTCACAACAGCAGACGCGCCCCGGCGCTTCAGCGCCGCCCGCGCATGTCGGGTACTCCGCGCCGATGGAGCGCGATCATAGAGAAAACGTGTTTCGCTACAGTGTTGGCTTTGGCCTGTGCGGAGAGGAATGGGCAGGAGGAGGAGGAGGAGGATCGATGACGACGATGACTAGTCCGTCGTTGCTTGCGCAGCCAGTCGAAGCTCGTGATCGGTTGGCGGGGGGGGGGGTGGAAGGGGTAGTGAGAGATACGGGAGCTGCAGCTATGGTTGATGAGCCAATGGAGGAGGAGGAAGAGGGTGGGAGGAGGAGGAGGAGGAGGAGGAGGAGCTGTAATGTGTGGAGGGAACAGGTTCATCGAACTAGGATGGAAGATGCAGCGAAGGAAGATGGCTATGGTGAAGGCGACAATGTGGAAGAAGAAGGAGACGACGACGACGAGGATGACGACGATGACGATGACGACGACGATGACGATGACGATGACGACGACGATGACGACGACGACGACGATGGAAGGGAGGAAGAGGATGAAGACGATCTTGAGCTGAAAGAAGCCATAGCCATGGCTTCCACTCGCAGAATTTCTACGAGAGAGCTCCACTCCTCCTCGTTACCTTTCGCGGAGTACATCGACTGCATGTATCATTCCACGGCTATGGGTTCCACTTATGACGGTACCCCGATCCCAACCCACGAGATTAACTGCACGTTATCTGTCGGAGCGGCTGCTGCACTGGCAGGAGTGGAAGGACTGGACATTGCAGCTGCAGGGGAAAGAGGAGCAGCAGCAGCAGCAGCAGCAGTATCAGTTGGCGTAGGAGGACAAGGAGGAGGAGGAGGAGGAGGAGGAGGAGGAGAGATGGATATGATTAGAATGGAGCCTGGGTCCGATGTGAATCTATCTTCATCATCATCATCTTTCTTCCCCGAAAGATTAGGCATTGGTCCTGGCGATAGAGCGAATATGACGGCTGATAGGTTTGCAGCGATGACGGTCGCAGCGTGTTTCAGGAGTCAGGGAGTCGATAGCTCAGGGTGCCACGTGTCTTCTGCCACGTGTCTTCCTCCTTACGGCAACAGCTGCTCGTTGGACGTGGCAACCACCTACCTCCCTTTTACTCCCTCTCCCTTTCCCTCTGCATGCTCCTCTTTCATGTGTTTATCGTCATCGTCTTCGTCTATTCCTCGACCATCTGCTTCTCCCTCTCCTTTCCCTTGTACAGCTGCAGTGGCTATGGCTCCTCTGCCATCCATTACGTCGGCGATCCTGACCAATTCTATTCGCACAAATGACGACCGACACGTGTCAACAGGTGGGGGCCCGTTGACCTTCATCCCGGTTGCAGCGAGTGGTGGGGTACACATAGACGCAGCAGCAGCAGCAGCAGACGCAGCAGCAGCCGTGGAGGGCAGACACGTGTCTCGTCGCAGTGCGGCTCTTGGTGCACCAGGTGTAATGGGTGCATCTGCAGTTCTTACAGGTGGGGATCGAGTCTCAGACCTCACTCCGATGGCAGTATCAGGTGCTGAGGAGTCCCCCGCTTGCTCTTCCTCCTCCTCCTCTCCCTCTTCCTCTTCCTCTTCCCCCTCCTCCTCTTCCTCCTCAATGTACAAGACAAGTCCAGAATTTGCAATCATGGCTGCAGTAGGTATGCTAGGCCGCCTCGATCGCAGAGAGCTTAACTCTTCTCATCATCACCATTATCCGTCTTCTCCTCCTCCTCCTCCTCCTCATCAACATCATCACCATCATCATCATCATCGTCAGCTGTTGACTCGGCATAATCAACACCATCATCAACTCCTTGGTTATCATCTTCATCATCAGGGAGAGCAGAACGGGCACCAGAGGTCGTATTACCACGAGCGGCAGCAGGCGGCCGATCTTCACCTTAAGCTCGACGGTTATGGCGGCCGATCTCCTCGTTTTAGAGACGCAGCTATGGAGGAACCATCGGCAGCGGCTTCGTCGCCGCAATACCGAGAGCGATTCCACGAAGAAGAAGAGGAAGAAGAAGAAGAAGAAGAAGAAGAAGTACTAGCTGCAGTCTCTCCTGCCCACCACGATGGGATGGTTGTCGTCTCTTCCATAGCTTCAAGCGCACTGGGATCAAGAATGATAGCGGGAGCAGCAGTGGACTTACCAGTACAAGGAGGAGGAGGAGGAGGAGGAGGAGGAGGAGGAGGAGGAGGAGGAGAAGTCATCGGAATGGAACTCTCGCCGTCCGTGGCCAGGGATCCCGACGGCAGGCGGCGGCTGACGACGACAGAGCAAAGACTCGCTGGGCGCTCATCCCTCGACGATCACCATCATGCCAATCAATCACCATCATCATCATCTTACCATCCACTAGGCAATCAATCGTGGTCATCATCGTACGATCCACGTGACACTCCATGCTCGTCATCCTACGATCCACGTGGCACTCTCTCGTTATCCTACGATGGATTGGCTGTTGCCAGCCACTCCATTGGGGACCCTGCTCATCCTTCTCCCGCCTTTCATCCTCCGACCGGTGATATGTCGGCGGCCGGCGAGCTCCTCCTTCCTCTGCAGATGCGGCAGCGGCAGCAGCAGCAGCAGGGGATTGCACAGCGGCAACACCAACAGATCCCGACACAACAGTCGCAATCCCAACAAAAACAGGGGGTGGGGCATTGCGATCGGCCGGGTTCAGAGTCGTCATCAAGCCAACAGATCCCGACGAACAACGAGGAGGTTGATGGGTTATCGCAGCTGCCCCCTGAGGTCCTGGAGGCATGGGAGAGCATTCAGTTGAGGCACAGAGCAGCCGCTGCCAAGCTTGAGATCAGTCGAGCCGCGGCCAGAGCGCACTCGGCGGCGGCGGCGGCGGCAGCCGCCGTCAAACACGTAGTCGCTTCCTCCGCCGGGTCCCCTCTTGGTCATCATCATCATCATCAGCAGCAGCAGCAGCAGCATCTCGTTTCCCTTCATCATGGTCTTGCTGCTGGCGGCTCTGTCATTTCCCCTCCTCCTCCTCCTCCTCCTCCTCCTGCTGCTGCTGCTGCTGCTATGGCGGGTGTTACCTCCGACTCAGGGCCTTCGTCTTCTTCTTCTCTCTCTTCCTCTGCTTTCCTTGGAGATGGCAGCCGTCTTGCCTCTGCTTCTTGTCTTCCTGCTGCTGCAGCTGCAGCAGCAGCAGCAGGAGGGACACTATCGGTGTCGCGATCGGCTGGCAGGATCGTCATAAACAGCGGCACCTCTCTTTCTTCTTCCATTCAGTATTCTTCTTCTTCTTCTTCTTCTTCGTCTTCTTCTTCTTCTTCTTCTTCTTCTTCTTCTTCTGCTGCTGCTGCTGCTGCAGCGTGCAAAATCCCAGGTCAGAAGCGACGTGTCAAAAGGGGAATGGCCACTGACCGCCATAGCCTGGCAGAGCGAGCTCGGAGAGGACGGATCAGTGAGTGCATCAAAGAACTACAGGAAATCGTGCCTAATGCCAATAAAGGGGACACCGCGTCAGTCCTGGATGAGGCCATCACGTACGTGAAGTCGTTGCAAAAGCAGTTGATGTGTCTCTGCACATCCCGATCCCGACACCGACTGGTGGTATCGGTACCTGGACCAGGAACAAGACCAGGAACACGACCAGGAACAACAGCAGGGATTGGAGAAAGGGGACCAAGTGCTGAAGGGACAACGCCTTCGACTACCGGTCGTCCCGGAGGGGGAGGGGGAGGGGGAGGGGATGAGAATTCGGGTGAAGTTTCTGAGCCGCCGCCGCCGCCGCCGCCGCCGCCGATCATGGGCGGGGGAGAGTCGACATCGGACCCGTCCGCTCCCCTGTAGAAGATAGACAGTAGTATTGATGAATAATTAGTAATTAATAGAATTAATTAATTATTATTATTAAGCATGTTAAACAGTCAGACACGCTCGCAGGTCAGAAAGGAGGACTATGCAGTTCGGTGAGGCTGACGTGTCGACGACAGTACTATCCTCCTGCTGAATGAATCGAGACGTAATTTTGCAGTCAGGTACGTCGTCGGCAATCACCACGCAGTGCGACTGACCTACCATAGAGTTCGTTATTATTCTTATTACTACCCTGCAGTAAAAAGACTTTTAAAAAAAAATGCAATTCAAAATTTCAACCCCCTCCCCCTTCCGCAACCCCCCCCCCCCCCCCCCCCCCCCCCCCCCCCCCCCCCCCCCCTTCCCCCCCCCCCCCTCCCCCCCCTCCTTCCGCCCCCTCCTTCCACCCCCTCAAATTACCAGAACAATCCAGGGCCTTTGTTTCATTCCGTCTACAATAGCTATCCCCCTTATTGTTCCATATTGTCCCCCATAATGTTCCCCGTATTATCCCACATTGTCCCACATTGTCCCACATTGTTCTCCTTTCCCTCCATTGTCCATATTCTTCAAGATTGGGACTTAAAACTACTTCCCAAGCGCCTCCGCTCCAGCCCCTTGGTGACAAGTTTCGCTATCCTTTTTCGTTTGTTTCCGTTTATTTCCGTTTGTTTTCGCCGTTTGAAGATGTGATTTGTCAAACAATCGATCGACGGCTCTGTTGTAGTTGCTATATCGGTAGAGAGCGCAAGCCCGAGACGTTATCAAATCAATCAATCGATCAATCAATCGATCAATCAATCAATCAATCAATCAATCAATCAATCAGCCAATCAGTTACCACCAACCAAACAATCAATCAGTCACTGACAGTCAATCAGTGGGACAAGTACAGGTTTCATTCAATCAATTACGCAACGTCTTTGGGCAGATTTATGTACTGAATCACCCCATACTCGGTCACACAGGGATTTTCTGGGATGTATCGGACCGCGCTCTGAGCTAGATTCATTCAGTCAATCACCAACGAGTTAAAGAGTTCTTTGAGCGGATTCATTCACTGAATCACCGTACGCGCTCACACTGGGATTTCGACGGATGTACCTGACCGCCCTCTGAGCCACATTCACTGTAACAGAGCAGAAAGCTGTATAGTGTGAGCATGCTCTGATGGAGTATCTACTTGCGATGGCCACAAGATTAAATGAATTAGTCCTAATCTAACGAACGATTGCACGTCCGATCAAACAGCGTCGACATCCTGTCAATTGGTACATACTCTTTTTTTTTTTTTTTTTTGAACCCCCGAGCGGGTGCTGGTGGTGCTGATAAGAGCAGACATAGGGCCTCGCTGCACTGCTCTCGACATGCATAAAAGACAAAAATCATGGCGTTGTATCTTTCCATATTCTAGGGGAAGATTCACTCTCGTTTTGCCCATTTCGAGAGTAGTGCAGCGAGGCCCATACTCGTAGTAGTTTGGTAATCGTATTTTCAAATTTTCATACCACCAGATCTGTTTGTTTGTTTTTTTTGTTTTGTTTTGTTTTTTTTTTTTTTTTTTTTTTTTTTTTTTTTTTTTTTGTTTTTTTTTTATATGCAAAGAACGACCGCTTCAATCTATTCGTGGGGACCTGCACCTGCCGCATTTGTTTGCCGTGTACCGTGCGCACTGCTTCGTTTCATGCTATGTTCATCCTTTAAGCTTTCATGCTATGAATCATGCTCTCTGTTAATGCTAATGCTATGTGTTTTTCTTTTTTTTTTGTTGGTTGTAATGCTATGTTTTTTTATTTAAGTGCTATGTTTTATTATGCCATGTTTAATTTTTTATGTTTAATGCTACTTCTCATTGCTATTTTTCATTAGTATGTTTTATGCTATGTTTCGTGCTTATGATTTATGCCATGTTTTTTTATGTTATTTTATTTTTAAATGTGTGCTATGTTTTATGCTATTTTTGATTTTATGTTGAATGTCATATTTCATGCTATAATAGTATAATCATTCTGTTTTCTGTTTTTTTTCTTTTTCGTTGGTGCTATGTTCAGTCGGTCGACTCGCGGCGTGTTCTATTTTTTATGCTATATTTCATGCTATATTTTTTATGCTATATTTCATCCTATGTTCATGCTTTCTTCATGCTATGTTCATCCCATGTTCAGTAGCGTCTTTGTTATATTTCATGCTTTCTTTTTTTTTTTTTTTTTTTTTTCATGCTATGTTCGTTAGAGGCGTGCAATATTTCGTGCTATGTTCATGCTATGTTCATGCTATGTTCATGCTATGTTCATCCTATGCTCATGCTATGTTCGTTGTATCTTTTATGCTATGATTCGAATGACATGCTTTTTTTTCTTCTTTTTCCTTTTTTTTCTATTTTTTTCCTTTTTTTCTATTTTTCTCCTTTTTTTTTCTTTTTTTTCCTTTTAGTTCTTTTTCTTCCTTTTTTTTTCTTTTTTTTCCCTTTCCATGCAGCTCTGTTACTGCTATTTTTTGCTGATTTTCATTTCATGTTGAATTTAATTTCTCAGCCTATGTTCGTGCTTTGATCATGGTATAGTCATTGCTTCCTTCTTTTCTTTTTTTTTTTCTTTTTCTTTTCTTTTTTTTCCGCTCATCCTATGTTGGATCAGTGGGTCACCGGCGTGCGTGCTATGTCCATGAACATATTTAGCGCTACCAGCTTGAAGTTCGTCTTAGCTCTATTTTTACTCAAAAAAAAAAAAAAAAAGGATGATGATCTGAGAGTTCGCAGCTGAGTTGAAGCTGCTGCTCCACGTGTTTCCCGCCACAAAACTCTCATCGTTCTGCTTTCGACACTGCCATGCTAGCAGTAGTCTCTCCTTTTTTCTTTTTCCTTTTTTGCGTACTCCACGCTGTCAAGACAAGTTTGTTTGTTTGTTTGTTTGTTTGTTTGTTTGTTTGTTTGTTTTTTTTTTTTTGTTTTTTTTT